CTCTACAATGCGATTCGGATTTTATTTTTTCAATTCTTTCAAATTATCATCGAAATCCGTGCCTTCGATTGTAGTTCTTATCTTTAGCTCAAAGATGGAAGCGGTCAGTTTTTCAGTATATCTCGAAATTAATTAGTAACATAGAGAAACGATCACTGGCACTCATCGGAAGAAGGACGGTCTTAATTTTCGAATACGATTTATCGCACGTCGCTATGACTTTCCTACGCGAAGATATCGACGAACGACGAAACCGAAACGAAGATGGGGACTAAGGCCGCCGAGCCTCAAGGCATGTCACTCGCCTCCGCTATAACAGAGCTCACCGCCAAAGAAAAAGGTGTGAAGTCCGAAGTGTGAACGCACTATGAGTGCGTTGCCACTTGATGGTAAAAGGATGTCGCCTTTGAATTCGCCTTTGAACTCGTCTTTCGCTTCGAACGTCCGAATCTCGGCGAAAAATCCATGTATGAACGTGAATCAAACGACATTCTTCTCAGTATCTCACGCGGCACGCGTTGGTCACGTGTGCCCTTATCATGACACGTGTTCATATGTGCGATTTGGACACGCGGTATATGTGATATATGCTGTACAAATATGCCAGAATATATTTAGACAAGAAAATAGACGGGATGAGACGTTTTTGTTACGTAAGATATCCAATTTCATGCGCACTACTTTCGAAAAAGTTCGCTCAGTACACGTTAAAAAATTTTGTGTTAAATTTCACACATTTCACATGTCCCAAACGGTCCTCATATATGGGCCAATTTAACATGAGGTGAGTATGTTGAAAAGTAACATAAACATTATATAAAAAATTAATACAAAATTATATCTGTGATATATTAATCGACACTGAAGTATAAAATATGTTACTTTACCATACTTACACATGTTGAGTGTCGATTTGACACAAAAATATGTATGTATTGAGATAACATGAACACAATATGTTAAATTAACACACAGGTATGTTAAAATTTTCACACAAAACCTTTAACAAGAACCGAATTTAACATAATTAAAAAATATTTTTTATTTTATAATTTCTTGTAATTTCTGACATTTTTCCCGAATAATCCTGACATGTTTACGAGAAATTCACTTTTCACCGATGAATGGTTGCGAATGTTTGACCAAAAATTCAAAAGACACTGAAATAATTTTGAACCTTAAATCAATATCATATAGTCAACGTCGAACACTCAGGCTGAGAATTAGTATTGAATTAAGGTTAGCATTTCATATCTATCGAAAGCTGGGTCAGTAGTTGATAGTATTGGGTCGATATCGAAAATCTAACATTTAATAATAACCTGACACAGAACCGATCGCACCATCCTTATATATGTGACATCAAGCTCCGTTTGAAATTTCATATCGATTTAAGAAAGTGATTGCAAAGGGATATTCGCGTTGCCGGACGGATTCCGCCCGTGAGATAACACTCGTCTTGATTTCAAAACCATTTCTGCCGGACACGCGTAATACCGATAACATCGTCGTGAATATTTCAACGCGCGCTTAATCGTCGCGATTCGTCGACTGGATGGAAAAAAAAATGACACACACCAAGCCGGTCGTAGTTCCAAGGAAATAACGAATGCAAGAAATCAATTCCGTACACGGCAAGATAGCCGAGGCGGGCTTCGTCCTGCATGCGGTCTGTGTAGCTGCGTGTGCAAGCGTGTGTACGATCGAGGCGAGACCCAGGCTGAGCCGGCGATAAGATCGGTCGCGTGAGAGCCAGCCTAGGGGTAGTTTGCCCCAAATGGCTAGTCCCATTTCCCTCGCGTCTCTAAGTAGCCGGGTATTTGTATCGTCGTACGTGTCGGTACGCCGCTGTGTTCGCGTTCTCTTCACAACGCCAGTCCTCGTCGCCTCGTCACACTTTACTCCTACTCGTCGTCGGATCAGTCCGATAACGGAAAATCACTAACGCGACCCCGATGCCACCGGCCGCTGACAAAGTGTCCGTTTAAACGCTCTTTCTGCCCGCTCGCCTCAGCGCGAGCGCGTCGGAAATGTCAAGATCGACTACGACGCGACTTCGCGAGCGAAGTCGCGGAATCATCGTCGCGGCTAAAATCCCTCCGGAACGCGCTTCGTAAGACGAGGAGTCCTCGAGCGTTCTCCCGAAGCGCCATCGCCATCGGAGTAATGCCGGCGAATAATCTGGCGACAGTTTCATTAACGCTCTCTTCCGGCGGATCCGCCGTGGATTTGGGACGACGGAGCGGCTCCGAAACTCGCTCTCGCTGCGTCGCCTATCCCCCCGTTCCTTTCGCAAATCGGCTCCGGTGCGCCCTTTCTCCGTGCTCGGCCCGAGAGAGAGAGAGCGAGCGAGCTTTTGGGCCATGCGAATCCGGCGGACAAGTACCCACCTGAAATCCTGACGTCCTGACGTGGCACTGCACCGGGAGTGAGAGATCGCGTTGCAGAGAGCCGGGGCTGCGGACTAAGCTCAGCACATTGCTATGTGCCTTCCGGCTTACGGCCGATAATGTTTTCATATTGTGGCGTCCGCGCACATGTTCGTGGCGTGCTGCCGGCATTACCGGCGCTCTTCTTGCGGCTCGCGAACAGATCTTCGCCCGAGAATGGAAAAGGCCCCTCTCGCCCTTTCTCCGCGCGTCCCGTGTCTTCGAGCTACGCGCCCTCACGCGCCGCTACTGTACCCTCGCTCCGTGAACTCTTGGCATCCGGCGCGACCCGCCGCGGGAACGAGCTTAAAAGCCGGCTGGAGGACCGACGCGGCATACCTCGCGGATGAGGATTCAAAAGGAACCACCAAGAGAGACACTCGACTCGAGTCGAGGACTCATCATCGTTTGCTCAGGTGCGCGCGCTCTCTCTCTCTCTCTTCCTCTTCGTGTATCCTTCTTGGCTCTCTCTTTTTTTTCTTTCTTTCTCGAGCACCGCGGCTTCCGACGCCGGAATTTCCCGCGGCTCCCGCTGGTCCGCTCTCTTGTGGCTCGACCTTGACACCACTCTGAGCGATGCTCATCTCGCGTGCGCGCTTTCTCTTTTGGCGAGCTAAGTAGATGCAAGGCAACCGGTTTCCACGCTCAAAAGAATTCTGCCGATCTCTGTCGGATTGTGACACGTTTCAGTCTCGCGGAGCAGGTATGGTAAGCGATACCACGCGTCACGACGTGATATCGATTAGTCAATTACGAATTGGTTTTGGAATATTTTTTCAATTGATAAGAATATACTGATTACACTGTCACACAATATAAAATCATATACGCAGTACCGTATTCGTGTAAGACACGGGCGTATCTAAGACAGGGAACATGTGCGTGAAATATGAGCGTACGCCATATGGCAATTAAGCTGGAGCACGATAAGGGACAGCGAGCAAATATTTGCAAGGTGACGTCTTTACTAGTAACGGACTGTATGTGTATAGGACTCTTCTGCCTTATCGATGTCACGACAGGCGCAGATTTATGGAAATTAAAATGTGGAGTGCGGGGAAGAATTGTGTACCAGTCATAAACCTCGATAAATTTGACGCGATCTTAATTGCATCCTTCGTATTAACGGCCGTGGGAGGAGATAGAAAAAAATCAAGAATAAATCTTAGCCCGGAAAAAATTACAGAGAGACGATAACACTAAAATCGAAAGTAATTAAGTCGATTAAAACTAACGATTCGTCGAACCTCCAACGGAGTCGCAATTTTCTACGTGGAAACTGCCGAAGTGTACGCTTTTAACGAAATAATTCGTCGATACATCTTTTTGTCGGTGATTGAACAAGTACGCGCGCCTGTCTTTAATTTGTCAAGAAGGTTAGATTTCTGTTGAAACAGCGCGACGGTCAAAGAGCACGTGCGGTCCGGCGCAAAAGAGTTGGGGCGCTTAACTTTAAGCCGGCGCTAATGAGATTGGAACACGGCGGAAATTTTGTATAACGAACCGAAGAAGCTTTTGGTCTTTGAATCAAAGTCCACCTACTTTTCAAATTTACAAAGGCCCCGCGGCCTGTCGATGAGATAAATTCACGGCGGGATATTATAGAGAAACTTCGCGAAATTGCGCGGAAACTTTTGGCCTCGTTAGCTCCGATCGCGCGCGCTGAATGCTCGGCAAATTGTTCCTCTCGTGTAATAATCAACCATTTTTTTCAAGAGAATACGATCGCGCTCCGTTATATTTCGACGCGTATTATTTTGATTAGCCTCGTACAAAATATATATACGTACAAGCCATCGTCGGAATGACCATATGTGTTGCGTGTGTGTGCGGATTTTGCGCGCGATACGGCAACCATGACGATACTTTTATGCGTCACTAACTTATCCATCGTAATCTGGAGACGCGGAAAGAAATCGTTCACGAGAGATTTCGAATCGGCCATATGGCGGGTTCCGGTACGGGTTTATCGAAAGATAAGTCGATGCTATTAAACCACCCCAATGGACCCCCGCGCACCTGTCCTTCGCACGCCACGTAACATGTCGAGTCCGGTGGGATTTTTACTCCGTTCTGCGGATATACCGGCGGAGTCTTTTTATCGAACAAAGGCTCGCCTTTTAACGAGTGTACGGTAAACCGAGATAGTAGATAGTGAATTTAAATGTCCTCGAATATAACAGACGGAGCGTAGAGAGGCGCGCAGGGCAGACAAAACCGGGGGATCGTCGCGACGGATCTGTCCGCTCGAAATTTTCGTCACTCGGCAATCCTGAAATATCCTTTTTCATCAGCCCGCGTCGGCGGACTCTTTTGAAGTGCGCATTATAGTTTATTACTAAGGAACCCGATATCGTAAGAGCGATTAATATACGGCGTTTGAAGAGAAGCGGGAGAAAAGAGAGGAAAGAGCAAATCCTTGGGGTTACCGACTGACACGTATCAACAAGAGTCTAAGTGCGCAGTAATTAATCGAATATATGCTTCGTTTACATTTTCCGAAGTCAACATGTTTCTCGTTCATCTTCGCTCTCTTGCGAGGTATCGCGTTTGCGTAGAAAAAAAACCTGATTTAGATAAGAAGTAGTCCGGATTCTATTTATTCTTCCTTTCTGTCGACAGATATCACACCACTTATTCTTACACTCAATACATACACGTTATATCAGTTTTCAGATCATTGCGCAAAACATTGTACATGTGTGACGCCTAATTTCTTAAAACGCAGTCTTTAGGCTAGAGAGACCTAAGTTCCCGTCATGCTGAATTAAAAAAGGTTGTTGCATATTCAGCTCATTGTAATGCAGCGGGATCCGGAAGTTACTCCGTTCTAATAATCTTTACCCCTCCGACCCAATATCTTTTCTCGCTGCGCCATCAGTTCCTCTTCGGTAATTTGGACTTGACATCTATTCGCGTAACGGTGACACTTTATATTGGCGCAACAGTTCGAGTCGGAGACGCACTGAAAACAAACGAAACGATACTATATGTCGCATCGATATAATTCCATGAAACGTGTCGAGAAATATTAACGACAGCTCCGTAAATTTGGACGTCTCTAATGACATTTCTATCAATCTGTTAGCGTAAATGACACATTAAATGTGCATTAAATCATTCCAAAGAAGATATTTTAACGAACAGAAAAAGACACACATACAAAAGAATGCTTACGCACAAATTAAAAATACGTCGAATTAAGAGAATGCAAGAACGGAATAATCAAATAACGAATAAACATGTAACGATAGAATGTGCTTTTTGCTGAGAGGATTAAATCTCAACGGCATTATTGCTAAAATCGGACGTATGTTTGTTCTATATTCAGCCGTGAGTTCTTGTTTTCACGATGAGCCGACTGTACACTTGTGGCCGCAATGTTATGCGTACAAATATTTGTGCAAATCTTTTAATATTCTATTACGTTAAATATAAACCGGAAGCACTTTCTCCGTTTTTCTTATTGATCGCAAGCAATATTGCAATATTTTTACAACGCGCGAAGCTAAATAGTGACAGTGAAAGGAAAAGCAATGTTGAGAGAGAAAAAATTAAATACGCGACAATAAGTATACTTACAGGGTCACCATGTCGACCGCACCTTTCAGTTGCCATGATACAAGAAACAGCTAACAACGTTACGAAGACGAACAGCATTAATTTCGCCATCTTTTCACAGTGTTGCAATCTGGAAGTAATTATGGAAAATTAAAGAATCGAGTGTATGAATCACAAAATAAACCTTCAATCGTACTATCGTACTAATTTTCGTTTTAATTCTATTATATTTATATTTATGCTTATATTTTATTGTATTAACTTTCGTACTAATTATGAAATATTCATATATGTATAATTAACATGCGATTTTAATCGCTCGTTGAAAATATTCACAATTCGATATCGTGTATAGTGTAAAATTCCATTCGTTACTTTAGCTTGATTGATATTCTTATCTCTGTTTTCACTCTCAATTTACATATGTTCTTCTAGACGGAGATTCATGAAATTCGGCTTACGTAATGCGATAAGTTGACCGTGAGTTTTATATTAGCGCAACTGACAACAGGTATATACACGAGTGAATCATGAAGGTCTGACTCAACTAATTCTTCAACAGACAAGGCGTGCACTGAAGTCTAAAATTTACGCATTGAAGTCTTGCAATTTACGTCGAAATTCGATTACGAAAATGCTTCTAATGCACCGTTGAAACCCACTATTATTTTAACTGTCGACGACGAATATAGTGTACGTAGATATTACGCTACGATTCTATCTAATATAGAGATAATTAGAAATAATTGAGAAGATCGCATATTATACACACAGATACACGCATAATAAAGTTTTTGTGACATTAGCAGATATTTAACGTCTCAAAAGAAAGGGAAAGGAAAAGAAAGAAATATACATATACACGAGTATTAAAAATGAATTATAATGAAAACTTTTCAGGTTTACTTCATATGAACGAGTTGAAATAAGTTCATTGTGACCTTCAAGAAAATCAAACAATATACTATAATTTTTTAAAGATAAGACTTATCGTTATCAGTTTAACGATTATTCGATAAAATGCGCAGTTCGTGTTTTAAAATACCTCTATGATTATTAATTTTATTGTGTGAAAGATACATTACACAATCTTATTTATTCAATGTTTTCATTTAACCTATTTGATAATTTCTTTTTGTCTTGGAATGAATTCGATATTATAGCAATTTTCTCGAGAATTATAAATCGCGTAGGTAGACACTCACCGAATACTTCAACGAACGTTCCTTCTTGAGCCCGACTCTCTCGAGAACTCGACCTCGACTGATGTCTTGGTTTACTACGGTCAAGGCATTTATATGACTGGAACGTTCCACACAGACGAATTCACATGTTTTGTACGTATCTTGATACGTGCAACGTACGAGCGATATAGTGAGTGTTCGTTACATTCCCTCACAAGCGTGACGCATTCATGTAACACATTAGAGAGCTATATGCATGACTGTGCATATGTATGTAGAACGTATACATCAGTGTGTCATACATGATGATTACTCTTTGTCTTTTTCTTTTTACTTATTGGCGTCTTATCTGAACTCTGTGTACTACTCATACATTCGTATTATATTATCGCTTTGACGGGCTGTGACTGTGTGTACATGTACAAGGTGTCCCAGATCTATAAAAAAATCGTTTAGCAACAAATTCTTCGAAACTATTGATGTCACGCATTAATCGCGATATTTCGTTTTACGTAGCTCTCGGTATTTGTTTCTGGGTAATTACCGTAAGATCAAGTTAGATTGCATCATCATGATAAAGATTTTGCAATCTATCAAAATGCTTTACATGAAAGTAATCCGTAAGTTCAATACTTATAACTTTAACGCTGAGAATTCCCGTTGTTTGTCGATTATTTCGTCGACATTACAGAACAGAAAAGTCTTTTCTTCACCGTTATCTTCGCTATTGCAATCTAGTTCCGATTTACGACATCCGAGTACATCCGAGCAATGAGGAAAACGGTAATTTCGAAGAAAACAGTCAATTTCTTTGTCGCATTTGGAGCTACTTAATCTCGTGTTTTCGAACAACTGTAATTATACCGAGGAAAAATATAGTGTCGAACCCGTGATCTATTCTACTTATGTCTGTCATCCAAGTATCTACAAGTTAGTCATTTATATTATGAATAGATTAACGCAAGTAATTTCTACGTGACTTGAATGCAAATAGTTGCTAAACGCTAGACTACGGAAGTGCATTACACCGTGGACACATCCGTTGCGTCAATCTCGGGCGCGCCTTTGTCGGACGGGTTGTTTTGGAGAGTTATTGCAGGTATTTCGATTATTAAATATTACCCCCATACAGAAATACGGGAATTGCAAAAAGGCGCCTTCCGCTGATATTCTCTTTCCATTTCACCAGTATCGAATGCACAAGTGCTTTTTGCCCTTTGCGCCGGCATTCTATCGAGTGCATATTGCGCGCCTCGTGCATTCCATTGATTCTCCGACAAAGCGCTCTTGTTCTTTAATTCGGTTGACAGGAAACAACAGGAAAGGAAACTGAATCATCCGGTAGCATTGTCCTTTTGTTCGCCCATAGTGGCTGAATAGGAATAGTCGGGGTTTTTTTTCCTGTCATCGGGGAAGCTTCGACACATCATGAGCCGAATTAACCTTTTTAGTATATCCGCAGCGGTGGCAGACACGCTTGACGCTTTTAAGCGACATGAGCGTTCCGCGGATTTATCGCCGTCCGTTCGACTCAAGTGCTATCGCCGTTTTGAGCTTTTCAGTGTCAGTCTACGTACGAGATGTTGGAAAAAAGGAAGAATATTCATGAATATTTACAGACGTCTCGACGATTTATTCGCGCAGCCGTCTCTTAGGCCATGAGAATGAAATTTTTGTCATTTTAAACATGCGATTTGAAAGAATGTATCGCATAATTTCAATATGCTCACAAATGTCGATAATCGCCGCTCGTGGCGGAATAATGATAAGCGCGAAACGATTAGGGGGAATAGTTAAGTAGCTTGCGTTTTACCAGCAACGCAAAATGCGTTACCCATTTTAAGTATACATATATATTGTTACAAATTAATACGGAACAATATAAATATCCGAGAATTTGCATTTAATTGGTGAAAATATAAATGTATAAAGAGTGCGTGCGTATGTCAGATTCAGTTTAACAAAGTGCAACACAATACCAATTATTCCTATATTATTAAATATCATGCTCATAACGTAGCATTTATATTGTCCATGAACGCATGTTTTGTACATAACATTTACGGAATTTTACACGGCTATTTTACTTTTGTCGACTGAATATAATAGTTTGCTCGCTGTAATTAAGTGACGTTTGCGATCCACTCTAGGATTCACCGCGTAATGATATCTACGTGATTAATAATAAGGAGTAAAAATCGTTGAAATCGCGTCGCAATTGTCAACTCGATGTAGCAAGCTCGATACTCTATTAAATTATTTGCCTGTTTTCTGGCCTTTTAACATCCTTAACGTGCACTTGTAATATTCGAGCTTTTTATTCTGAAGGAACAAAGGAACAATTTTAGTATATATGCATTTTGACTTGCATTTCTTTTTTTCTTTTGCTCGGATGGTCCACGATTTGATTAACGAATTCCCGTAAGAACATTCTGCGAAAAGACGAGATAAGCTTTTTATTTGTCCCTCAATTTACTCGATTTTAGCCACAAATCTATAAAGCGCTAATAATGACGTGCCAATCTTTTTACGCGCGTATTATTACATCGATTAATTGAAGTATATTTAATTATTCATCTAACAACTAAACATAGCGTTCATAGCGGGAGCTACATATGCGTATATGTATATGCAGTATGTAATAATAGATATTAAATTTCAAGCACATCCGATTGTTCCCGCAGATATATTTACGATAATCCCTCCAAATAATAATGGGCGCGGTCGTCTAATTCGTTTTAACCATTATCGAAGAATTAATGATTATGTGTAAGTACAGCTTTACTGTGCGTATAGAGTAATTACACGAACGCATTTCGCGTTCCCTCCCATTGTATCTCTGACTTTTTATAATTTTATAATTATAATAATTACAATAATTAATTACTAATAAATAAGACGAAGAACATTGATGGCTTTTTAATATCTTTTATTTAAAGTATTGAACATGATGTAAAATCTTATCTCTTGAGAAAGAGAGAGAGAGAGAGAGAGAGAAAGAGAGAGAGAGAGAGAGAGAGAAATAAAATAATGTCGTAATTGGGTGCAAAAGAGTGTCGTAAGATAATGAGTCGTCGTATCAATTGATCAACTGAGTAGCACATTCGGTGGATATGAGCCAAGTCCGAGAAGTTTCTTGTCTTTTCATGAAACAGGAAGGAGACCTCCCCCTGACACGCATTTGTGTGCATAAAACGCACATACCAGACGAAGATCACGACAGCACTGATCAGTTGTCATGCACTAAAATACATAAAACGTTTAAGAATTAAATATTTCGAATCATTCAATATTTATTCAGATTCATAGTGTTGCGAATTGCTAGTCGCCATCACGATCAAAACATGTCACGATCTTCAATATATATTTCTATAGGAACTTTTGATACACGAACCGCAACAATCATAATAAAATTTCGCTTAATAATGCGAATAAATGTGTCCCGTATGCTATACTTCAACTAATTCTATTAATTAATCGATATCGCGCATTCGCGAAGACACATTAAAATGCTGTACCAAGATTTTCAATATTATTTCGATTTGCTTTTCACATTCGCAATTTGCCGTAAACTATTAAATGTCAATTTATAACTATTTATAAATGTAAGAGCGAGTGAAAAACTTACCGGTTCTCCAATACCACTGCATTTACCATCTCCTTGAGGGGCAGCTATGACCATCGTGGCAATAACGAGAAGGACGAAAATAACGAACTTCATTTTGCTAAAAATATTTTATTCTTCTGGAATTATCAAATTTCTGTATAAGCGGTGTTTTATAATTCGATACAATAATAATTTAATAATAATATTATTTTGACAAAAATATCTCAGTAATAAACTCTGTGTGCACGAGTGTATCTCTCTTTTGAATACCAGAACTTATAAAACATCTTGAGTACACGACTGTTAATTGTTAAATGGTTAATTAATAAATGTAAATATATATTTTTATATATCAGTAATATAAATATTATTACATAATTTATCTCTGATATTATTAATATATAATTTATATACTATAAAACATAGTATATTTTTTGCTGATAAATTTATTACTTTTTTATATATATATATATACCAGCATATATATATATAATTTATATATTAGTAAAATTTTATATACTAATATGTTTTTATATTCAGTGTCGGTTTAAAGTAACTCAGTCACAAATATAACTTACTGTCTCTTTTGATATAGACTACTTTATTGGTCGTGTATGATCCCAAGTGGCCGATATCTTGATCCTCGCAGAGTTTTTATACCTCACGTATATTTGAGCACACTTGAGTACACTATTAATTCATTCGTTTTATAAAAATGCAATTTCCAATGATACAGTTTTTTTCTATTTAATATCTCCGTCTGCAACGAAACATCGTCGCTGTCCGTTATATAAGATAAGAACATTTATCGTTGAATGTTTCAAGCAAACACCCGGTGTATATTCAGTTGTAACTGCACATTAAAATGGAAAATACAGAGAAAGTTTATCGAAACAAATTACTGCAGCCGCGTTATGTAACAAGTTCAAGCAACGGGAATTTCTAATTAAATAAGTACATCCGTGGCGTCCAATATTACTGTGTAATAACAGAAGTTCAATTCGATTAATTACATCGACCAGCTATGATGTATTAATCGCCTCTTGCGACAGTTTATGGTGTTGCTATAAATTCACATGCGACATGAACATGTGTACGAATGCGCTCTTATAAGTATCCTCTGCAACTGATCGTTGCAGCAACACGGTTACTAATACAGGGAATATGAGGAAATGTACGCATTACAATTCGTAATTGTATGAGTATATATTGTCAATTATTTACATCAATTACATGGGATAAATCTTTTGTTTTACGGTAAAATGCAAGCCTGAATCGTTGCAAGTCCATGCGAGAAAATCCAGATTTCTAGAAGATTTAAGGCTGGAAGGCGGGCCAGTTGCATTAGACATAGTCGTCATTGTTGTTAGGCGGAATAGCAGCTCGCCACTGCCATCTCCATGGTTGTTCTCCGTTACCGTTATTATTGCCCTGAGCTCCATAAGGTCCTCCTCTTATTATGCAACGTTTGGCCATTGGGTGGCACCACCCATTGTAGCAGCAATCGCCGTTCGTGTTGCACTGTTAAGACGAATGATGAAATGAATTAACAAATTCGCAAGATACATGCGATGTTACTCTCGTAACTTCATTATTGTTCGAATCATTATCATTCGACCCTTAAATTCCGAATCGTGATACTCAGGCAAGCAATATATGCTCATGCAAGCACTATATGCTTAATTGCTTTCTGTGACAGTGTGAATTGGAATTTTTACCACCGACCAATGTACCGTCGGCGACAGTTTATTAATTAATTAATACAATTTTGTTTATTTAATTAATATTTTGGGAAAAAAGTTATTTTCGGATCTATTGTGAGACGTGCATGGGAATCGACGTATATGAATTTACGACTAACATGTATTTCGTTTACTTCTCTGCATCGATAGAAAATAAATTAGGTGAAAATAGCGTTAAGTAGATCGATTTGACATTCTCAATAAAACGAACATATACGTCGGTGAAAAATTTCGGTACACGCATGTTACAGATTTATAATGGTGCAATACTTACCAAAGCGCCGGGCGGAGAGCAAGCTTCGACTAAAGTCACCACAAAAAGCGCGACGAAAAGAAGTGCCAGGAATTTCGCCATCGTTGATTGGTATTCCGCAAGATGTACGGACGTCAAGGAAATTGCCAGAAGAGTGTTCACCGAATTAGAGCAGGCAGCTACTCACTTACAGTGCGTTCTGATTGGGGTGGAATGAATCTCGTCGACTGTCGCTCAGTTTATATAGGCTGGTGCATGTGAACATAGAAGCATAAAAATCATAATTTTTAAAACACACGGATGCGCAACACACCTTGAGAATTCTTCTGCGTGAACACCGCTTAGGTCACGTCACTGATATTATTATCGTTTATCAGATTTCGTTGATCGCGCAAATGTAGCGCGCGAGTCATAGAGGTAAATAAATTACGTAAAGATATATATGTACACGGATTTTTGCGGATCTCCTCTGCGAAAAATCGTAAACCCCCCGCAAAACAACATCGCGATAACAACAGTCTTTCCTCGCGATAATGCGTGCAATTGTACCGCTTCTGTTTATTCGATATCGCGATGGTTAATCCACCCTATTAATTGCAATCAAAGCAACTAATATCCCGAAAAATTGATCTCAATATTTGTGCGTACATTTATGAATATATTTATACGCGAATACATTTTAAACTTATATTTCACATGATATTTTTGTATATACCATATTTTATGATATTATAAATACATTAAAAAAATATTTTCACTTTTGCATTTTTATATTACAAATATATAGAATTTCTTTAAAGTTATTATGTTTAATATTATATAGCAGGAAAATATATACATTATTTTTGTGTTTTATTCTCTATTTAGACCATGACAAGGTGATGAAATCATCAACGGGAACTTAAAAGTCTATCAAAAATCACATATATAATTAAGATTTAGTATGCAATTAATACATGGTAACAAACAGAATGATAAAATGTGATTAATATTATTTATTTTCCGATCTATTTCTACATATATTGAAGAACATTATTTTGAATTTTCATTTTTCGATAAGAATTCATAAACTATTGAAATTACCTCCAATTCTTTAGTAAAACGCAAATCTAGAAAGATATATTAACCTATATAACATTAAATTGCTATCTAACAGAGTCGTCACGTTTAAAAATAAACTAGCAGTAACGATGCAACTTGTGTACGTCTTGATAACGTTATTTTCTTTCCGCATTCCTTTCCATTATGCTAAGTCATAAATAACCCTTGTTTTTCTCTCTTCAGAAAGTTATTTTCATGCGTGAAATACCTCACAATTAGAACCTACAATCTCTCTATAATATTATAATATAAAATAAAAGAAAATATACAGAATGTGAAAAATAATAAAACTATGCAGTCTTGTGTATGTGATATCGTGATTCAATGTCCTGAAAATCGAACACACTGACGATATGCGCTAACGTACCTACATAATACATAAAAAAACAACAACTATAGGATAACGTTTTATTAAATAAAAACAAACGGCTCACCGAAAGTCACGCGACCTTCAATTGTACTCACGCCGGTATGCGCTTTGTTCGAAGCCATAACAACCATAAATTTAGGAGAGGAAACACGTCAGACGAGATCGTCTGTTACTCCCTATTCTTTTAATATCAAATTAGCCGATATTAATGTATAAAATAAGAATTTACAATTCGTGTTACGCTCGGCGTGCAACGAGATCGTTGTGATCAATGAGAGCGTCCAGAAATGTAAAAAGTAATTACCGAATTTGTATCATCAAAAATTTAAAAGAGAAATACGCTGCAATCTCCTCTATTGTTTTAAGTAATTCGAAAAATTACATTTTGATACTTCAAATCTGGCCGAATACGCAGGCACCGTATGAAGGCAACTTCAGTTACTCCGTGTGAAGGCAACTTCAGTTACTAAGAACGCAAGCATGAACGCGCATACGGACGCGGACGCGGTATCGAGGAATTCGGTTCAAGGCGAACGGAATCAGTATCAGGATAAACTTACAGGTTCAGTATCTTTTCTATTGCGATCGGAAAGCGAAATATATTCATCGCAACAATCGGTGCAATCGATCTTCAATTCGCGAATTTTCACGCGTATTTTCGTGTCGTAAATGTTCCTCTCGTTGATGCGAACGTGATTTTCATTATCAATTCTTTACGTGCAATCCGTGCCATAGTGAAAAGTTAGTGTAACGTTGGATATTACGATAATATATCTGAAATAGTTGAGTAAAACATGTAGCATGCTATGTGCTCAGCTCGTCGAAAGTCGACGCGTCTTTGTATACACGACACACTTGTAGGTTAGGTTAGGCTAGGTTGCTACGCGTTCGCGTTACAACGGTCCTACGCATCGGTCAACGTACACGTAGCGGCGTTGTTTGTTTTACTTGATTTTCTTCAAATAATCATCGAAGGTAAGAATTCATGATGGCCCCCCACACCCCGATCATCGTATTTTCGAATCACCGTGAGCAGTGAGAGCGTACCGAAAAGTCATTATTATCCTAGACTACATAATGGTTAAAATCGAGACAAGATGTCTTAAAGACGTCCTAAACACGTTTTTCGGAGGTTATGTATTAGACATCTTCAAGACATCTTATATCTTAAAGAAGTATTATCTGAGATGTCATTAGACTTGAAAAAGAAGTAGAATCGGAAAGCATCCGTATTCTCTTAATCCATCTAAATCTAAACTATCGTAATTTTACACTATTTTATTCGCGCTAACCAAAAAAATCATCTTTTTGTTTCAGATCAAGCGGGCTTCGCAGACACACACGCAGATGCAGTTCCGAAGAAAGCAGATGCGAAGGCTGCAGATGCAGCACCGGAGGATCCGGTTCGGGATAGACAGGGTCGACTTGAAAGTAAATTGACGTACCTGCGATACCTTTTCCTTTAACACGTTCATTGCCAATCACGCGATATCGCGTGATGCGCGAGTTCTCACCAAACGGCCGATTACGCTTGATCGCGTGATAGATATTTAGAGAACATAAATCCTATGAACATAATAATAAAAGCATATAAAGAATATATTAACTTATTTTGAGCACAATAAAAACTAAATAAAAAAATAAAAAAACATTTGGCCACCACACGAAATTCCAATGTTCAGCTTGGCAATGAATGTGTTAACTCTTCGCAGTCAAAACCGGGATATAGATGTCAAAACGACGTCGAAATGGCGAATTGCGACCGCGAAGAGTCAATCCACCTGCATCTGTATTCTTATTTGTTTCTTACACACAGTCCCTAAATCTAATCTGTAAAATATTTTCTGTTCTAGAACTAAAAAACGGAACATGGCCGACTCTGAGCTGCGGCATATTCAGTGAGTAAACAAAATGAATAAGAAATATTTCAAGGAGGTAGTATGGTTTACAGATTCTTGTGGAATCAGAACGATTTACATTTGTTAGTAGATCGCATGTGTGTGTGTGTGTGTGTGCTGTCTTACGAAATAGGCTCTTGAAATAATTAGAGGATCGTATCTTTGAGCGCTTATGCGTCACCTCTGGCAAATATTTAAATGTAGGAAATATTGCTCGTAGGAAATATTGCTTAATACCTAACATTAAGTTTTAATAAATTCATATAAATTTGATATATTCCGGCCATTTGTGTTTTTATATTTGATTCAGGCGCAGAAAGATTATTCAATATAACCATTTATTTAGTGCAATCCTCTAATTGTTTCGAGTAGTGCATAATCGCGCATTAGAATTGCGCCATCACGCGTAAAACACACGATTGCTTCGTTCACGATATATATTTCACGATCATTACGGTTACACTGAGAAGAAAGTATTAAAAAATTTATTTGTAGGATATAAGGTTTATTTCATATAAGTAAACCTTATTTCTCTGAAATAAACTTTATATTTCACAAATAAACTTTTTAATTCTTTTTTCCTCGATGTAATTTCCTAGATCTCTCGTATGTATGCGATTACGTTTTGCAACAAATTAATTTTGCCAAAAAATTTCGCTAAAGTCAAAGTATCACGAAGTAATTTTCGCGCAAGTATTGTCGCAAGTCATTGTTTGTGAGGAAATATCACATCAATCGCGATCACTTCGCTTACAATTGACGTTAAGAAATTTCGTAATAAATCTTTAATTCGTGTTTTCCCGCACACAATGACTTTGCTCGCGAATTTTAATTTTTGGAGTTCATTACGAATCTTTTTTCCGCATCTTTTGCGTCCTGTGAACATATTATAGCGATATTACAGAAAGTTACGAATTCGCGAAACGGGAAACCCGTTTTCTTCGTTTTTACCATTCAGGTCTCGGATTTTATCGAAGACATCATGGTTATCAATTCACGATCTTTTATCCGCGATTCGCGAGTATATTTGTTACGTGTCGGAAAAGTTATCACGTGTCGCGATAGAATTAAACGAAAATTCACAAATTCCGATCTCGTCTCTTGCTCCGAAATAAATCAAAGCTTTTCACTGACGGCCATCCAGACATTCGTTAAAGGCCGTTATGATGTAAATGTTAATCGCGTCGCGAATGAAATAAAGTGAAGTGAATCAACGTGGGACGAGACGCCGGTTGCGGAACGATGCGAGCAGTTCGGGACATGCAGCCGTTGCTTTCGTCGAATGGACTTGGCTGGACGTCGCTGGACTTCATCGCCAAATGGTGAGCGTTTAATTAGAACGCTTATAATGCGTCATATTACGTAGTGCATGTGTAAACGTAGTCGTGTCTGATTCCTAACGATAGAAAGTAAGGTCTTATTAGGTGCAATACTGGAAATATTTTCTATTTATTTAACACCCGAATGATACATTATGAATGTGATTGACGTATACACGGAGAAAACAAATTTTGTTAGAACAGCAAATTGTTTGTTAATTTAGTGACAGCAAAGAAATTTGTTTAGACAGCAGAAAGATTTGTTAAGAATATTAATTGCTATTTGCTGGATGTATAGACAGCAAAATAATTTGATTATGTTTCAATTAAATTTTATTGCTGTCGCAACAACGTTTTGCTACAGCAGCAAAATTATTTTTTCTCCTAACAAATTTGTTTGCTGTTATTATATTAACAAACAATTTGCTATATCAGCAAAATTTGTATTCTCCGTGTATATTCGCTCGAGTCATAAACAACTTTCGTCCTTTTCTGCTTTATTTTCGTGTGAAATATTTTACAATTGAGTCTGATATGGTCTACATTCGATTAATATTAACAACTTGCGCTCCCGACTGGTAGACAGCTCATCGGCTCTTTACGCGAGTGTTCGAGGAAAATGAATATTTGCTATCTTCGTCAGAGGTTATTTATGATTCGATCTGGTACATAATATGTCCACGTGAAATTATTATTGCTGTAATTAGCATTTATTTCACAACGGTGTCGCACAATGCAAACTATTACGCACTCGCATTGTGTCAAGAGTGTGTCGTACAGACGCAGTACATGTCTATACATTCTCAACTTTTTATCACCTAAAAGCGTAACGATTTCATGTTAGTCGTAATCGGCCGTTACGTTTCCCGCACGCTGTCGACGATAATTGGCGGTACCACGCGGCGTAATATTTCAGAACGCCCGCCGTGTAACTCGCGCGCCCACGTGTCATTCAGCCTATCAAAACCGCTCTCTAAATTGATTCAATCGTCGTTTTCCCGTGGGAGAAACCTCTTCGCTCAGATATTTTCGGGAATCTAGTGAAACCGCCTGCCGCGATAGTTGTCGCGTCTTTTTTTCCCAACCGACATCATTTATTCGGTGCCAAACTACGATCTAATTCGGGCTCGAACTAAATCGGAGACACCCTCGTTGAAACACTCGATTTCGGTAGCCTAACTGTAACGTATATAACCATAATCAATATTCTCATTTATGATAATCTGATATTCCTGAGAACTCTGATCCAATATATATATATATATATATATATATATTTTAAAGTTAGCATTCGTTAGCTCATTAATAATAGTCATATCGCGCTTGTCAGGATAGTGTAGGATATCGAAACAAGATATGGTTAATGAAAGGTGAGCATCCTTACGTCTCACATACATGCTATTTGACGCTATTCTAGAATAATATAAAATGTTAGACGATTCTTCGACGCAGTAGTTGACGCTTTAATCGAAATTGCGGTTTTGACTTTCTGCGAATCCTCGTAAATTTCAAGTGTTTTCATCTAGCTAAATTAACGATATCAATAGTACATGCTCGTTATAATGAATTATATAATTTGTATAATTTGTACATATAGTATTAATTACATGTGCATTAATAACAAACAACCCGATGCAGCATATAGCCGAAAATATGTAAACGCCTAATTCCCACTGTCACTCAATCTCCGACCAAATTGTAGCAACTATAAATAATATTTTCTCTCTATGCGCAAAGTTCGCTTAATTGAGTGCGCCATTATCTGTAATTTAATGCAATGTAAACGATTAAAACGTTTACCAAATTCGGTCTTGATTCCGGACTAACTGATGAATGGTAAATCATTTCATTATGACGATAATTGCGCGATTATGGAGCCGGTTGCACGGTCGAGCGTGAAAAACAACAAAAAAACCGGGGAAAAGGAGATGGCCGCAAAACATTCTGCGGAAACTCGATAAGACGGGGAAATTTTACACGCGAGCAGCAGAAATGGCATTTTTCCGCTCGCGACGGAGCATCACTCGCCGCATCTCGTGATAAAATTGTTGGAAGCGCGAGGTTATCACGGTACGATTCGACCGTTCGCAATTATCGACACATACACTTCGCAACGACGTCGTAATGTCGTTCGTCGCGTTTGTCATTCGGTCGTTCAAGTTGACGAGAATCTCACTCAAGATACACAGAGAGTCTCTTTCGAAGAAACGATAGATTCGCAGCGCGTTATCTTTCCCCAGTACTTTGCCGCAAACTCCGCTTTATAGACTTGATTACTCGTCATTTACAAGTCAATATTGTTCTGAAATCATCTCTCCTTTCATCGCACGCACGAGATAAAACGTATTTTGTATATTACTTTCTGATCTTACGGTCGAACAACGTGTACAAGATGAATCAACGTGTTGCCGTTATGACTCGTGCGTCTTTCCTTACCGGCGCGATAGAATTGTCGTGTTTCGAAGGCGGCAAATGAATTACCCGCACTACCAGACTGACGCCTGAATTAGACTTGCGTGCAGAGAGTGTGTACATTTGTATCCCTTTCCTTAACACTATGCAACATCTACACGCACTTCCGACTTACATTTCCGAGCTAACCACTCCTTTCCGTTACACGCGACGGCCGACCCCTAAGAAACCATTAAGCTCGTTACGAAATTACCATAAATGTGTCGGATAAAAACAACAGCTGCCAAGAACGCGTTCGGTATTCGAAAATGTTCATTGAGAGATTCGGTCGAGAGAGAATTGTTTGAATTTTGGTGAAGAAAATTGTTGGAAATCTATTTATCTACATAAAGTATACTATATTTGAGATATGAAGAGACGATGATTAAATGTATCGTGAGACGAATGGATATCTCAAGATGCCCCAATTTCTCAATTGTTATTTATTAGCCATTGTGTTCAAGGATTCAGTCATTAGAAATCTATCGATAAACGCACACGCGCGCGCAATGTGTCCACATAGAAAGATATAATATACTTTTAATATATCTCTTAAATTGAGATATGGCACGATTATTCTTTCTCTCTTCCCAATCGTTCTACGTAGTTCTTAAATTGTTAACTTCAACGTACAACGCAATATTATTGTGGTAAATACTATAAGTAAAGAATACGATTAGGAATCTCCAATTATAGAAAAAATCGATACAAATAAATGATTCAAAGTTTGGTAAATAAACATTCGCCGTTATCGCGCGGGATCGAAAATAATCACAGAGCAAAATAGTGTTAGATTCAGGTAATTAGTTACTGCAATACTTCCCGATAAATTTTTATATAGATTATGTAATATTTACTTAATCTAATATTTATTAATCTAAGTAAAATATTTTCTTAATAAATTATCCAAGTAAAATGTTCACTTGATCCGGGTAAAATTTACTCAATCCAAATTTACTTAAACCAAGTAAAAAATTGGCTAAAGAATAATTATCGGAGTGATTATTTGCTTGAATCTAGTACTTTTTTTCTGCGCACTATGAAAGTTTCTTCGTACAAAGATAAACATAACGTTTTAGAGCGACGCAAGATCAAACGTCGACGTCCGACGTACGTCGAATCCGTTTCTTAGCCGGAAGCTTTCGATACATATTCATTAATCCATTAATTCGTGCGGTGACATAGATGAAACACAAAGGCACGTTTAGGTGCGTGCCAACTCACCCGTTT